ATGTGAGAGCCTGGTCCGGTGAGAACCCGGCGTGCTCCGTCCCGGCTTTGTAGGGATGCGAGGTCAATGGTCTAACGACTACGGCATGCACGACTATGAGTACACCCCCCCCCATTGCTCGCCGCGCACCCCTCCCGCTACCAACGCAAGTTCTACGACAGCATGTGCATCGACTCCTCCGCTGGCTATACCTATGCGGGCTACTACTACGGCACGGACTCAAGCGCAGGAGACTCCATTGCTACTGTTGAAGACGCATGCGGCGCGCCGGTGGGCGAGTTGAACAGCAGTGAATACCTGACCCTGTTTTCGGACACTATTGCGGTATTGGTGAACGATGAGAGCGAGCCGTTTGAAGCCACCATCCCGGAGGAGGACATCGAGACTGAGTGTCAGGTGAGCTCTTCCCGTTTCTCCAGGAGTTACTTGTGTTCCGATGCGTTAGCTCTCGGGGTGCGCGCATTCATTTGAACGTACGTACCTACGCGCAAATCGTCGTGTGTTGGGGTGGGACCACTAGGGTGGGAACAAAGCATGAAATCCTGTTCCTGCTTGGGGAGGGATTGGTTGGTGCCGAGGATCACTGCAGCCAGGGTGTGTTGCTGAGTGCCCCCCCTCCGCGCGCGGTAGACTTGTAATCCTGTTCCCCAAATCTACACGCCATGTTTTTTTCGGTTTCGCGCCGGGGGGAGGAGACAAGGATCATGGGGCTGCAGATGCTGCCGAAAATGCAAACATGGCCTCACGAAACAATGCCTCACGTACGGGGGGGGATCTCAACAAATCGAGTCCCGCCCTGAGTTGTCGCAGACGCGCCTGCACCGTCTTAATATATTTCCATATGAACGCGATACCGGGGAACAGCAGCAGCAGCAGCGCAGCAGCAGTGTCAGCAACAGCAGGAGCAGCGTCTGGGGTACAAACCTCCATATTCACACATGTCCGGACGTCATGAACTAGCTGTTGCCGCCCATTGAAGCCTTCCTCTCCCCTGCCCCTATCATTGCTCGGCTGTGGGGTGTTGGAACTTTCAGGCTCTGGGGCTTGCGGTGATGCCAAAGGACAGCACCAACGGCGTCGACGAGGCAAACGACTTCCTCGCTTACGTCCAAGCAGCGTATCCCGAGTCGGCCGACCACTGGCGGGCGCTCGAGTCTGAGGCCGAATTCACGGAGATAGTTACAGACGAAGGCTACACCAGTGCTGGCGCTGGTCCAGGGCTTTCCTTCGGGGTTGTGTTTTACTCTGGCGGGCCAGACTGGGAGTATAAGGCAAGGGGTGGGGTGACGGACGGGGTATGGTTTCGGTTTGCTTCAAGCATGTTGACCACCTGTTATCTCGATCTCTCGTCCCCCTCCCCCCCCAGAAAGTTCATCGTAGCTCGCACGAGTTGGGGGACGACTACCCAACGTTTGTTCGTGCAAGCCGGCTATGACTATTGCTGTTGCACGTTTTTCCTGCTGCTCGATGCGTCGTCGTCGATGACACCTTGGGTGCCGCAGATCAGGACGAACTTCACGAAAGAGTCCGACGATTGGGGGTACTACTACAACAACGTCCCGTCAACGTTTAGCAACACAGACACGAGCTGCAAGGAGCCTGGCGACTGCTTCTGGACATCGGTAAGGCTGATCGTTGGCAAACAGCCGTATGGCAGAACATTCTCTACAGGCAGCACGTTTTGAACCACCTTTTGGCAGTGAGGGCCCTTGCAATCTTGCAAAAATGGCGCGATCTACCAACAGGGAGGACGGTTGCGTTCTTGGTTCTTTGCAGGTCCCAAACCCAAGTGATGGTCTGCGATAGCTCTCGATTGGCATTGCTTGCTACCTACTTTTACGTCAGCGTTCAGGGCGACGATTCGTCATTGTGCAAATGTCGCGTGGAAGCTGATTCTTGGTGAGGGTTACCGGCTCTATTCTGCGGTATGACTACCCTACGGACTCGGGATCTCGAGAGCGGCTGATCAGTGATGAATTCTCCAGATATGCATACCGTATGTTGCTTGAGCCTCCAAACGTCGACGCGTCTCGTCTCCAACCGTATTGAGCATTCCTCCAACCCTCGCCTCTGTCCTGTCCGTGCCTCATCCGACATCACCCGAATAAACAGCGCTACCACAGCAGCTCAGTGCTAGCGGTGCAACAGCTGGTGGACAACTGGATTATTAGCCAAAGCGTGCCCGAAGGAAGCTCGACCGAGTTCTCGCCTCCCCAAGTACGGGTGGCTGAGTTTCCCCACTCTGCCTACGTGCGAAACGGCTTTTGGGATACCGTGAGTCGAGAGGTGTAAAGAGGGTTTAGACAGGGTGTGCCCTGGGGTGGGATGCATGAAAAGGGATCATCTCCACCACGGACGTACCAGTACACAAATATGATCTGTTATCAACACCGCCTTGAGTGAGAGATCAGGATGTGTAGAGTGTAGACCGTGAGCCTCAATATTTGGAGGTTATGGAGCCAAGAAGACCGTGTACTGTAGGTGAAAACACTTCGAGGGTATGATACTCATCCCGTCCGTCCTTGACGTTTCACCTGAGGCTTTCGCAGGGGTCGCGTGAAGCGCATTCGACCCTTGTTTGCTCCATGGCCATCTTATCATGAGCGCTCTGGTGAAAGCAGACCACGTGCCGCGGGTAATATTGCTCGAATCAGGGCTCGCCTCCTTATGCTAATACTCTACTTGCCGATTCTTGCCGTGGCGGACCCCGCAAAGCTTAGTGCACATGTTAGATCGTTTGCGTTTGCCGACTGATCCCCAACATATCGTCGCATTCTTCTCCCTCGCTTCCGTTCCTTTAGGCCGGTTTCACGTTCGCCATCCTAGTCGTGATTTCGGTCATGTTCCCAGTTGCCAATACTCTCAGCCACCTCGTGAAGGAGAAGGAGCTGAGGATCAAGGAGGGCCTCAAGATGATGGGACTCACCGGCCTTGCTCACACGGCGTCCTGGGTGTTCCACTTCGTCTGCCTCTTCTTCGGTGTCGCTCTGCTCATGGTGATCGCCTCTGGCACCCTATTCCAAAACAGGCAAGCTTAACCTACAATACGGCTCTTCGAAGATGTTAGAGGGAAGACGGCGGCACTGTTCGCGGTACAGGATTCGTTGTTTTTTACGATAGGCGTGAAGCCGATACACGGAAAAGACATCACCCCTTGAATGCTCGTGTAGCTTGTTGAGAGTTGACCTGTGGCCAGGGTCGGAGTACTCTTGCCCCACCAATGTATTTCGTTTTGAAGACCTTGACCATGGCCCCAAGATGTCTCCATGGAAGGTCCAGCCAAACCTGTTGCCCCTGGCGCCCCCCTTCGCTCGGTCCGCCGATGTTTGTGTGTTTTCGTTGTTGTTCAGCGACAAGGTGCTAATGTTTTTGTACTTGTTTGCCTTCTTCATGGCGACGACGTCGTTCTGCTTTTTTATTGCAGGTGAGACCCACAAACACACAATCAGAAGAGAGAGGCAGACAGAGCGACATACGGATTATAATATGTATATCTAGGAAAAACTGGTTTTCCGATTAGGGATACACGATGACATGGAAGAATATAGACAACGCCATCTACGCCGGACGAAGAGAGCGTGCAAAGGTCTGTTGAGCTCCCCGGCACATGTTGAAAGCGCTAGCCACTACCACCGTACCATCCATTCCTGAAAAATAAATGTCCCGAAAGAACCCTAGTCCGGCTATTTCAAGGCAATGACGATGATAGGCATCCCCCTTCATGAAACTGCTACCACCAGCTTTTCCTCACCCCAACCCTACTTTGGCAAAGTAGAAAGGAACGATTGGCCATCGGCGATCGGTCCTGTGAGAACAATGCTCCGTCCTCTCGAGGACGCGTGGTCAATGGTCTAACCGCTAAGGCATGAAAAACATAAGAGTACACCAACCCTACTTCATTCCTTGTGCTTGCGCCTCCCACAAGCACATCCCAAGTTGTCCCAAGAGCTCTAACCCTTTGTAACGCCAGCGCGCTCAGCTGTCCCGAACCCACTCCATATGTATATCCCATCCACTTCCAGCCCTCCCCTGCCAATATCAGCGATCGCGCCCTCTATCGAACCCTTGCCTTGTCCCTATCGACATCCATCCCCTTTGTCCTGAACCTCGTACTGTGTACTGTAGCTCTGCCTTACGAAACCTCCCCACAGTGACGGTAGTGCTACCGCCGCCCGGGTTCTTGTTCCAACCCCATTACACATAATACGATGTCTCCCTACCCTTTCGACCTCAGCGTTCTTCAGCCGCGCGCGGACGGCAGCCACGATCGGCACCCTGCTGTTCTTTGTTGCGCTCTTCCCGTACTTCGCGGTCTCGGATAAGGAGGGCATCACGGCCAACCAGAGACGGGCGGCTTGCCTGTTACCCTCCACGTGCCTTGCCCTGGGCACTGTACCCCTCGTCGAGTTTGAAGACGCCGGCGTGGTGAGCAGCTTCCTTTCTGGGTTGCTCGTGTTCAACCTTGCGCAGCGGTGCCGTCTCGCAGGATGTACGCCATTGAGTAGTGTCCTTCCTTGAGTGACCAATGGAGTAGCTCCGTGTCTTCGCGGTTGGATCGGATCAGGTCGTGTACATAGGCAATGAGCAGTGGCCAGAAAACTAGCGGTCAATTCAACTCAATTCAATTCAAATCAAGGGAGACCTTAACCATACCTTTCCAACCTTGCGAGCGCCCAGCTGGATCCTTATGGTGTTACATGTAGGCCCGATTTCACTTGCTCTCCGTCCCGTTTCGCCGGTCCTAGATCAAGTTCGACGTACCGACTGTTTTCTACTGCAGCCATACAGTATATACTGTGCCGTCCTATCAATAGCGGACCTTGAACAAAAACATTGGTGGGTATACACGATTGTAGGGTAGCCCCGGCGTTTATCCCAACACGGGAGAGAAGTGATACGGTCTCTAGACTAGACCCGAAGGGTTTATAGACGTCGGACCCTCCGCTGTATCGTCATGCATAGTCTACATACGAGGGGCCTACCCGTACCCTTTCCTTCTCTCTCGGTGATTCACTCGACTCTCGTTCGTAGTCTCAAACCTCTCGCTGTCCGACTCCGACTCCGCCTTTCCTGTCCGAAGACTTGGAAGGTTGTAGCCACCCCGCGCTTCAAACGCCTCTTGGTTTTCACACTTACGCTCGCCCTTATTTAAACATATTCTAAACAGCGTTTTTGTTGGTCCTGGGTACCAAGGATCCCAGAGCGCGACAAGCGAAACAGCCGTGTCTCGTGTTGGTGTTCTTCGCCTGCGACATCTAGCTCTCGTCCTGGCCTCGAAATCATTTATGTGGCCAAATTTGTTTTGCGATCGGAACGGTGGCAGGGTGTGACGAGTGAGACGGCCGGGTCAAGCGAGAGCGGTTTCACCTTTAATGACGTCATCACCATGCTCATCGTCGACATGTTCGTCTATGCCGTACTGGCGTGGTACGCCACCAATGTAAGTGAACAGGCCACGCAAACTACATTATTTGAAACGGTCGCGTTCAGGGCACGTTCAATGATGGCCCGTTGACATGATCGTCAAATACTAATTCGTAACGTTGTCCACGCCTCAATCGCGAATCCCGCCGGTGCCCAAACCAGGTGCTGCCTTCGGAGTGGGGGACATCTCAAAAGCCTTGGTTCGTCTTTACCAAGTCCTACTGGCTCTCCGGAATGACTAAAAGGCACGTCTATGCCCATGCTACTACTGTGTACTACGTATATGAAAATGGACGCGCGTTCTGCCGGATGAGACGGGCTCGCTTCATCACAAGATGTTCCTTATGCAATGTGGTTGAAGTCCCTTTGACCGCGACTGCATCTTACTTTTTTAAATTGTCGAGTCTTGTGATGGTGGTTGATGTCGCGGGCTGACTGACTCACGTCTTCATCGGTCATGTTTCGCATCTCGTCTCGTCTCGTCGACGATTTCACCGTGATTCGGTGTCCATCCATGTGGAGTCTGGAAACTGATGGCGTGCGTGGCACACACTTGGGCAGATTGAAACAGTTTAAGAACACAACGTTTTTCAGCCCGGTGTGTCGGCGACGAGTAGTATCATCGATACGTTTGAGAGGGGCTGCGCACACATGACCAATAGCGTCCATGCGATATCGTTCAACGTGTCAGTAACTTAAGGTAGATTGTTTCTCTGTCATGATCATCCTATACTACAGGGAGGCGATGGCAATTAACTCCGAGTTGCTGGGTCACGACGAGAGCGAGGGCCAACCATCGGTGGAACCTGCTTCTGAAGAGCTCAGGGCCCAGGTGCCCGCCGGCCAATGCGTCGCGATTCGCGGTGAGGGCGCAATGTAATCATTGCACGGTGTCGTGGATCATGCAGGCAACCTTAATCCCTCAATGCCTTTTCACCAATACTCATTCGAAAGAACAAATCTCGTACTTCAGAAAGAACGCTTGCAGACCTTGCACCAGCACCGCGCTGGTTTGTGGTATGTTTTTGACAGCCGCTCCTCGCGTGCCGGGTGGTCTAACAGTAACATTCACATCGTACGCATATCTAGAGACAGTGAACTTGCGATGTTGACATCGTTTCTCCTCGAGCACAAAGGGTTCTCGGTTTTGCTGTCGACTTTTTAGTTAGGCTTGTTGGGGCTGGAAGCCGGCGCGCTTCTTTTGAGGTCAAGCGGATTATACGATGTTGCTCTGGGAGGTATCGATGAAAGGCGCCGCGTCCTTTGCGAGAATCAGTGCTCGATGTTGTTGCGTGATTACTTTTTTCTGCTGCAGACGTGGGGCGAACATCGTGATACCAGCGAGATCGCTACTCTGGCGATGCCTCCTTGACCAATTTATCTCACAAGCACGGCGTTGTGGTTTCAACACGATTCATTCGCAGGCCTAACGAAGGTGTACCAGAGCTCAGTTGGCGGTTCCAAGACGGCGGTGGACAAGCTAGATCTCACCATGTACGCTGGTCAGATCACGGCTCTGCTGGGCCACAACGGCGCCGGCAAGGTAACTGTACCTTAATAATAAGTCAACAGGCAGCCGATAGACAAGTCCATGATAGTTAACTATATGGCCCTTCGCCAGGGCTTGATGTTGCGACAAACGGCAGCAGACTACACTGCTGTATTCCCGAGTGCACGGATTGGATGAACGTGGATTTCCCACTGGCCACGTGCGCGAAAACGTGGATGCGGACATTTGCATTAGACTAGGTGTTAGGTACATGCGGGCTGATGATCTGCACTTTTTTGGCCAAACTGCCACTACCAGGAGGAGAAATTGCCGTTCGGGGTGTACAACCAAGCCGAAGCGCGTTAAACCATCGCAGAAATATTTATGTTCACACGAGCTTACGCAAGCGTGTCCCTTGTGGACCACTGCATACAACTGCTGCTGGGGAACGGACATTTTCGAACTCCGTTCTCTGTCGATTCCGGCCCAATTCTCCTGAACGTTCTTTTCCGGGGTCAAGAGCTGGCTGCAACGTGAAGCGTCGAGTCGACGTCGTGCGTGCTTCCCAACCTCAGTAGCTCCGGGATGAATGTTTTAAAGTGTGTAACATACGTGTCGATAGATGTGCATACCATCTGTAAGAGTAGTTTTGCATCTGAACCATTGGTACGACGACATTGTCTGCTGTGAGACTTAGTGCTCGTGCCCTGATTCTTTTTCTCGATGCCGCCGCTGGTTCGCCACCGAACGTATCCTCATTTTCTCTTGCCACGATGCCTCACACAAGCACATCTAAACACGTCAAACGCTAAATCGGTAGCGCCTGTATACAATTGTAATCACCATCACCATCAGGTGCGCGTTTGGTCCACCACACGTTCCAAGGGCATCCTCCAATTTGCTTGCAACCGTCTGGTGTGCGTGTTGCCCAATGCTTGGGTATCCCCTCCTCTTGCCGTGTGGCAGACAACGCTCTTGGCGATGCTGACGGGGATGACCCCGGCGACCGAAGGGAATGCTTTCATAGCCGGGCGAGACGCCAACAAAGACATGTCCAACATCAGGAAGTCCCTCGGCGTCTGTCCCCAGCACGACATCCTGTACCCTACCCTCACCGTCAAAGAGCACCTCAGGCTGTACGCCGTGCTCAAAGGGGTGCCTCATGCCAACCTGGGGGAGGCCCTCAAGGTATATTCGCCTACAATCCTGCCCTCATGTCAGAAGTCCGTGTCGCGCTAATAAGATGGGCAGCCCCGGCGGAAGGCGGCATCATCTGCCGTCTCCCATCCTTCACCATGAGCAATAAGAACCTGACGCAGTGTTTCACCTAACATTGTTCTTGGCAACCACAAGACAGCGCTATTAGTAGCTGGTATGTTGTACCTCCAGTATCCGCTTTTTTCTCTGCCCTAAGACGAGCAAACGACGGACCAATACCCCCCTACCCTTTCCCTTTTTTTCCCCTACTCTTTCCCAAGAAAACGTTGCTGGACGTCGGGCTAACGGAGAAGGAGAACGAGAAAACCAAGACGCTCTCCGGCGGGCAAAAGCGCAAGCTGTCCGTTGGAATTGCTCTCATCGGTGACTCAAAGGTGGTGTTCCTAGGTGAGTAGTCGCTGGGTGTACAAGGGTGCGCGACAAGGCATACTTCTATTGAGTGCAGGAAGCGAAGCCATTGGGTGCGGCAGCTGTCAAATAAGTTCTGGTTTCTTGTCTCCAACTTTGGGTGGGGTACGATCCGGTGGTATGTTTGGGGTTGCCTAACTCCTCGCCGAGGTCGTTCAAAGCTTCCACCCGCCCACCTCCAACTCCTTCTTGTCTCTCTTTGCCCCTCCATTCCGTGTTTGGCCTCTCCCCTCTCCCCGTGCCCCACCCCGCCGTCAACACACGACTGCTGTTGTGCAGATGAACCAACCTCCGGAATGGATCCGCACAGCCGACGCTTCACGTGGGACTTGATCCGCAAGAATCGGGAGGGCAGGGTGGTCGTTTTGACGACACACTTCATGGACGAGGCGGATCTACTTGGTGATCGCGTGGTAAGAATAAGAACATCCACCAAGCGTCTGGTGTTCCAAAACTGTGTCCGAACGACACTGCTGTTAACCCTTTTGTTTTGTCCCATACAGGTGCCGTTATTCGCTGAGCCGAATCAGTTCGACAGCATGTTATGAGTTCAGCCGTGTTCGCCTTTCCCCCTCTACTCAGGCGATCATGGCGGACGGGATGCTCAAGTGCTGCGGCAGCTCCCTCTTCCTCAAGAAGCACTATGGTGTTGGGTGAGAAGGTTATGCCAGCTGCTGTCCTCTAGTGCCGTCAGTTGACCGACACTTGTTCGTTGCAGGTCCGAGTGGGCGGAATTGTGGGGAAACGGTTGTTTTCTGTCTTGGCTGCTAGCTTCCCGAAAGCCAGCCTTCCCACCGAGAGGGATCACGGTTTCAGAGTCGAAGCATTGTCGACCCCCCACCTTCTCCTAAACAGGTACAACCTGACCGTGGTGAGAGGCATCGAAGGAGACTCACCGAGCTCGACCAATGGTAAGGAAGGAGGGAACGGCGTGTCCGAATCCAAGCTGGAGGAGGGGACACCTCACCATGAGAACGACAAATCCCACCTACAGGTTTGCTATCACCGTACGAGGCAATAGCGCAAGTAGTACTGCTTAGATGCCGGTATCTTGATTCCTCTGGAGGACCCACCGTAGTGCAAAGCACTTTCGCCTGGCGAATTAACTGTCCTGTCTTCCCTTTTTTCTTGTAGGAGAGCATGGAGCTCGAAAAATTAGTCATTTGGGTTGTGTATCTGCCACAACAGCAGCGCCTTTCCACAGGGTACCTCGCTGTACCACGATACACGACGTGGGTGGACCAACGACCAGCTACCGATGGTTCTCACACCTATCAGCTATTAACAGACAGCTACAATGTCTTTTTTGGTGCCGCCACAGGCGAGTTGCCTCGTCGCCCCCACGCTTGCGGTGTCAAGAGTGCTAACAGCTTTTCCTACCGCTATACTTTTCCCCAAAACCACACCCGGTCATCCTGGAACCACAAATGCCTCTCTACCTCAACCTTTGGATGCTCCCCCCCGGCCATGAAGGTGGGTCCAATCAAGGCGGTCGTTCGCTCCCACGTCAAAGGTTCCGTCCTCCTCAGCGACGTTGGGGCGGAGCTGTCGTTCCAGTTGCCAAGTGAAGCGTCTTCTTCGTTCAAGGGAATGCTGCTCGAGATGGACGATCGCAAAGAAGAGCTGGGCATCAACAGGTTCGTGCCATCGTCCTCGTTGTCGTCGTCTCCATTTCACTGACCTCACCTTCCCCTGAAGTATTTGAGTGGTGACTGGAGCTTTAGGTGTTGAGTGAGTTATTATGCAGGACAATGTTGGTTCGGTGTTGAACCAACCCAACCCGATCCCAACCCTAGCCTCACACCCGCTACCTAAGCACGCCTTCGCCGCGCGATCTGAACAACGTTGAAACAAACAAAAACGCTGGAAAGAAGAAATATCAGTATTTTTCATTCTATATCTGGTATTTTTGCGGTGCCGAAAGGGCGTGCGAAAGACTACTTCCCATTGTACAGGTTGGCCACGTCACCCCCCCCCCCCCCGCTACCCGTGGCAACCGGGACTGTACTGTAGCTACGGCGTGAGTGTGACGACCCTCGAAGAGGTGTTCCTTAGGGTGGCCAGCGAAGCTACCGACCACAAGAACCTCGGGCATCTAGGCCGTCTCCGACGCGAAAGCAGCCACGCCTCTGACATGGAAAAGGTGAATAGAAGTCACTACAGCGTGAATGTATCCAAGAGTCCTTCCGCATGGTTGTGAGCTGTATCGACCGAATCCGACGATATGCCCTGCGCGCAAATGTTTGGCACTTGCTGGATGAATGGACGGAAGGTTGTCTGAGTGCTATATGTACACCTGCTGTTGTACATGCATTCACATTGTTCCTGTCACGGTTGACTTCCTATTGCGGCGTAGAAGGCTCTGCAGTGGACGACAACACGACCGAAAGACCTAAACTTTCTTGCGAAGACCGTCTTAGCGACGTCGAGATGGTGATTTTCTGAAGTAGTGCAAATTGTACCCTGAGCATTGTTCAAGGCCCTCTGTCGGCTTTCGGGGTGTTTCTTTCCTTCGCCGGACTGCAGGTGGCCACCCCGAACGAAAGCGTTCAGCATGGCGTTCCCGAGCACCGTTCCAGCGACCGTCCCTGGGCGTCGGCTTTCCTCTACCAGACTATGGCTCTGTTGAAGAAACGCCTGCTTACCTTTCGGCGGGACAAGAAGATGTGGGCGTTCGTGGTGCTCATGCCCATCGTCTTCATTGGAATTGGCGCCCTTCTAATCCTAGACTTCGATATGAAGGACCAGCCCGCCCTGACCCTCTCCCCACAGGTTCGATGCTTGATGCAAAAAGTGCTGCCAATTCTCCCGCGCGACGAAAAAAACGGATTGCCCCAGCAAGGGTAGGGCGTGTGTTCGGGTGTGCCCGCTGTGCGGAGCGTCAACCTGCTGTGCGGGGGGTTGTGCCAATCGTCGATATAGCTGCGACAACACCTACCATGAAGTTGCGCAGCTCACCCCATTTCGCCCTTGAACCTTTTGACGGCGTCTCGATACATAGGTCTACAATAACGGGGGTGGGGCGCCCTTGCCATTCGCGACGGAGTGTTCCAACCCCATTGCCACCGATGGTGTTTGTGATCCTGGCGTGCTGATGGAATCGCTTGACAACCCCGACTCGGCGCAAGAAGTTGACCTGGAGCTGTCGCAAGATGCCGAATCGGGCGACGCTGTCGGCGAGGCACGTAATCCGCCAAATTGAAGAGGCTGACACTACATATGCATGCACTGCGTAAAGTTTGTGCGTTGTGGAGGAACGAAAGGCGGGTTCGCGGGCGCGTATTAGTCTCCACAAGCTCTCAAGCACTGCCACGAGTCAACTTGGTTGTTGTTTGGGTCGATCGTCGTCCTCCTTCCTTCGCCACTGTTCATCTCCGCCCCCCTTGCCTCTCGCGCCCTTGACAATCGCCCCGTTGCTTGCCACGGGCGGCACCAAACCGTACGTTCTGTGTGACTGGTCAGCAGCTCAACACGGCGCTGTCCGTATTCCCGAACAGCTACGACAACAGAGTCTTCGGCGCCTTGTCATTCCGCGAAGCGGACACCGCCTCAGCAACGTTTGACTACACGATTCACGTGAGCAAACGAGGAATCATCGCGTCCTCATTGTTCCAGTAGGGTACGAAAACAGTACATACAAGCAACAGTGCCCCCCAGGTCCCTCATTCGACTGCTTTACCCTATTGAGAGTTTGGAGTTGCAGCACGTCTTATTCAGAATTCATTCGCATTCCGACCGGACTGGATATCGCATAGAAAGCACGTCGTTCACGTACTACTGCTGAAGTTCTGTACTTGCTGCTGAGCGCTTTAACCACTTCGAATTGTTGCAACAGCCGGCAATCTTGGGACCGACTCTTCACAGAATCCGTTCGTTCTTATCCTCACAACCGCAGTGGTTGCGCCCCGCTCTTGTCGTTTGTCGTTGGTTGTGTAACATGCACGCTTTGCATCCTTTGACAGTCCAACTACAGCGCCCCCCACAGCGCGCTGGGGTATTTAAACCAGATGAACTCCGCCCACGCTTTGCACACCTTGCCAGTCCAACTTCAGCGCCCTGCACAGCGCACCGGTGTATCTGAACCAGATGAACTCCGCCATTCTGAGATTGCTGTCTGGGGATCCGGAACAAAGCATCAAGACCGTCATGCACCCCATGCCAGGTGTGCCAATGCGAACGCATGATGGTGTCTTGCCTGTGTTGCTTCTTGAAGCCCATTTTGATCTCAGTGAAGCATGCGGCAATCGGATTAGTGTAGACCAGGTGCCACTCAATGTTTGACATAGTACAAGGAAATTTTGACGTCAAGGTAGAAGTCACTCGGAGCAGGTTCAGTGATGGTTTCGCGAACATCGCGTCTCAGAATCGCAAACCAAACCCGTTGGATGCAATGTTACTGACGTGTTGTGTGCCTCGACTTTGCTGGAACCCCGTTGAATGCTTACCCCTGGAATGCAGAGACGGCGGATGTCGAGGAAATCATCGATTTCGTCCAGACGTTTTTCATCATCATCTTTTCCATCATGGCCTTCAGCTTTGTACCAGCAGGCTGGATCATGTTTATCGTCAGGGAGAAGGACACCAAGTGCAAGCACCAACAGGTGTGTGCGGTGACCACGCCCTCAAGGCCAACCCTTACGACGACGTACCTACTGTATGCAAGATCAGCTAGTGTGGGCCGTGAGCGTATTATTAGAAGGAATTGTTGCCAGCCCTAAAACACTTTATGTCACCGCTATCCCGTTCCAGATGTGGCGAAGCGCCTCCTTCTGGACCGCGCAGTATCATTCACGTCCTTCACCCCAAAAACAGCAAGACCAGAAAAACAAGCAACACGTAGCCTCCTCGACTCCTTGACCGCTCACTACCGTTCAACCTGCACCTGCCGGCCATCGCACCCCATCTGGACCAGATCGTGTCTGGTGTGGGACTGGAGGCGTACTGGTTTTCGTCCTTCTTGTGGGACTTTGGGTCGTTTCTCGTCCCGATGACGTTTGCAATCGTCCTGTTCAAAGGCCTTGGTGTTGATTCTCTCTTCGAAAACGGGGCGGACGCGGCGTTTGTGCTGCTGTTCATCCTGTTCGGCCTGAGCATGGTGAGCGTGCCCGAAGGTTGTGTCCTTGCCCGGCCATACCGCAGTCCCAGGTCTTCCCCCCTTCCGCTTGGTGAAACAGTAAACTTTGTTTGTGCCATCCTCTCGGACCATGTCTTGTTCTCCTCTGTCTGTCGGATGATGCTGTTTTCTATCTTGCGGGTATTGTTTGCACGACTGTTTATGAATGGTTATTAGGGCGATCGACCCTTACCCGAGACCGCGCCCGAACAATCACACCAGATGTAGAGTTCTCGATTCCATGCCCTTGCGATCCGCCGAGGTTATCCCCTTTTTTTTGGATTGTAGAAGACGGCGGTTGTTTTCACTCTCGCGTTCACAGGTTTTAGAAAGAACGACGATTTTTGCGCTATTGACGAATGCTGCCAGCTTCTGGCGAGCGATATACTATTTAGCCGCCCTGACAAACCGTGCCCCATACGCCCGACACAGGTTCCCTACACCTACCTCGGAAGCTTCATGTTCTCGTCTCACAGCAAGGCCCAAAACCTTTGGCTGTTCCACAACTTCGTCCTGGGAATCCTAGGTCCGACGGTTGGTGTTGGTAGTGTGCATGTTTGCCTGCGGCTGTTCGGAACAAAGGTTAAGACACGTCGTGCTTGTGATGATGCTCTATTGGATTTCGTCGACCGTACACCAGGTGCCCATGGTTGTGAGCCGTGGTTATTTGTCCTTTCACGGAGGCGGGGCAATGCTGTTGTCATTTTCTTGGGCCTCTTTTCATCTATGAAGGTCCCTGGCTTGTTGTACGCGTGTTGCGGGGTCTAGTACGGGTCCAGAGGCACATCAAGTACTTCACCTCTGATGGCAATCAACCGCGGTAGGACCAACTATTTGCCTCATTTAGAGCCGATGATATGGGAGCTTGCCGTGTGGTATTTGTCGCAACTGATGTCGTCGCTGGGGTCGGCCTTGCTGTTTCAACGCATCCGGTTCGCGACTCATTCTTACCAACTTACCATCACCATGGTGTGCCTCCTGCTTCTCTCCCACACTTCACCTGGTGTCCGCTCGTTACCCCCACTACCCCTTCCAGGTCCGGTAGCGATAATGTCGGTAAGTGCCTTTCGGTACGGGCACGGGGGAGGGTGCAGGCGAATGTCGTATTCGTGCGGTAGAGAGTGGGGGGGGTTGTTTTGGCCCACCTCGCTGACATGATACATCGAAGGTCGTAAGGCGGACTGCTTGTTTCGGCATCGCTCCTTGCTGTGCTTGAGGTTTGCCCGTTCCGTGCGCCATCTGGTGCGTGGTGATGTTTGATCCTAATGCTGCGATTGAGCGAGGCGTCGAATACAATGTTGGCTATGGCCATCCATGCGGTTGGATCATCGAGACCCTCTAGCTGCTTCCACCTTGTACAAATTTGCTTTGTTGTCTCTCTTTCTGACGCGCTTTTTCTCTCGACACCTTGATTGGCTTCGGAACTACGGTCTCGGGTGCAGATTCCTAGCGAGAAGTGGTACCAGGATGCGCTGCTGTTCGTGCTCAACCTCTTCCCGCAAGTATGCTTCTCGTTCGCGCTGCTTGTTCTCGGCTTCACCAACGTCGGCGGAGGGGACGAGGAAGGAGAAGGCGAAGGTGACTTCGAAGACGACTTCGACCCGTTCAACAAATACGTTCGTCGCAGCCTAATCTACATGGCGTGTGAGGTTGTGGTCTACACGATTTTCCTCCTCCTATTAGAGAGGTACGTCATTCATGTGACCACTAGGCCTTGCGTTTGAAACGGGTTGGAATGGTGTTGTACCATTTGGCGGGGGACATGTCTTGTGCTCGTACCCGGAGGGCGCGATCACCTCGGTCTGTCGATCATGATATTACGGCTGAAGACGGTATCACTGAAGAGAAGGGGAGATGGAGAGTAAGGCAGCCCGCTTCCCGTTTGCTGCAAAGCGTCTGAATGTAGCCTTCTCCCCTCCCTCCCACCGTTGACGATATCCTGGGGTTGCGTCGTCTGTACGCGATTCTTCGTGTTTCCCCCCGTCGGACAGATCGTCGGCGGGCGGGTCGTGCTTGTCGAGCTTGTGCGGCAAAGCCGCCGTGGGCGCCAGCACCCTTCTCAGCTCCGTGAGCCCCCAACAGCTCGGGGAAGGGGACGTGCTCGATGAGGATGTGGCGCGAGAGGCCGAGAGGGTACGACAAGGAGGCGGGGATGGAGATGCCGTCAAGGTGATTCCGTGATCAACAAGAATATCCATCCCCGCACGATCGATGTTGGTCCTACAAAGCTGTAGGAATCAGCCATGCATGTGCCAGGCACGATCCCTGCACGATCATCCTGACCTCCCTCCTTGCAACTTCCACTTCCTCGCAAACACGGAGGTGTTGGTCAAGGAGGAATGTCCGGTCCATCGCGCGCGAAACCGGGCTGAACAATCACAACAAGTACAGATATCTTGTGCGGCCGTGATCAGTGTCTCCCGATCTAAAGCTGTCTCGACGATTCCGCGATGCCAGCGCTGGAGCTTACTTTCCCCGCGGTGTTTTCTTCGTACCCTTGTTGCTCCTGGACGTGGGCCATGCTTGGCTTGGCCTATAGATTGAGGGGGTCACCAAGGTATACCCGACACATGCCGGAGCAAAGGTTGCCGTGAAGAGCACGTCGCTGGGGATTCCGAAGGGGCAGTGCTTCGGACTGCTCGGGATCAACGGGGCCGGGAAGTCGAGCCTGCTATCCATCCTGTCAGGTAAGGCCTGAAGATTCCCTCGTTGCGGATAAATCGGTGCGTGTGAAGCCAAGGCAAGTGCCAAGCGGCCCAGGCCTCCATCCCTTTGTTTCGTACGATACTGTACTAGTACAAGTTCGATGTGCGCACCGGACGGGATCAGAAGCAAGCAGAGGGTTCACACCCATGTGTGTTGCAGCCGCACACAATGATTCTGACAGTCCCGACGGACTAGTGTTCTGCGGCTGCCGTAACCATCGCTGCGCACTGACCCATCGTCCGGGTACAAGGAGGGAAGTATTGGACGGTAGGTGTGCATGTGGGCAACGGCCATGACAGTCGTTCTTGCAAAAGAACTCAGGCGGAACTCTTGAGAGCAACCTGTCATTTCCCTTGACTATTTCACCAACAACCGCGCAACACAGGGGGGATTCCAGCCACGGCCGGTGCGGCGTCGCTAGGGGGACATGACGTCGGTAAAGAACCCGAAGCCATCCACCGCCTTATGGGCTATTGCCCCCAGTTCGACGCCCTTTTCGAGACCTTGACCGGCCGGGAACACCTCAGGCTGTATGCTGCCATCAAGGTGCGGCTTGGAATCGTGTCTTATACCTTTTGCCAAACATCAGCATCTCCCCTCCCGCCAGGGAGTCCTTGTCTATTTAACTGTTTAAATATGAAATCAAGCGACGTTTGGACACATCCATGCTCTGTTTTCATACACCTGTGACATAAGACCATGCGGCATGCCATGCGATGTTTCACGATGCAGGGAATACCGGCCGCGGAGGTCGAATAGGCCGCCAGCACGATGATCACGGATCTGGGCCTTGGGCACTACGCCGATAAGTTGGCAGGCTCTTACAGCGGGGGAAACAAGCGCAAGCTCTCGGTGGCTGTCGCCATGATCGGGAATCCGCAGATTGTTTTTTTGGTGAGAATCCAAACGACAGTACTGTAAAGCGGTGGCGATGCCACCGGCTGGTATACGGTATGTTTATTTCCTCTCGCCGACCGCTTCGCCACGAGTATGTTTGGCTACTGGCGAAAACCCCGCACGCAAGAGCTCCGATGATGGCGGTTGTGGCAGCAACGTAGCTCCTCTTTCGAACAGCAGTACCATCCGACGTGTTCATCGTTCGCCGTGCTTGCATGCCGTCGTGTCCCCCCTTGTGTCTCCTCGCTTCGTTACGTTCGCTCGTGAGCCAGGCGTGCGGGATCTTAATACGGGCATGTGTGGCCTCAGTGAAACGAGCGTAATGTGCATGTCTTTCACTTGTAAACCTTGAGACCTCTCTGTTTCCCTCGTTTTTTCTACCGTACCGAACACCATACCCTGACGATAACCTGCAGGACGAGCCATCGACGGGTATGGATCCGATGGCCCGGCGGATGATGTGGAACTACATCATGCGCATCGTCACTCAGAATCGGTCGTGCGCCATGATCTTAACGACGCACAGGTGCGTACGGGCAGTGTCCTTCTTGAACTCGCCGGCACTGCTACACGCAGTTGAGCTTTGGTCCTTTACGATGTGAGCTCGTCTTGACAAATGATGACCAGCCGCAAAAGTGTCGTGAAGGCTAGCATAATGTTCACTTGAACTGCACGTGATGTTCAATTCGGTGCCATGTCTCGCAGCATGGAGGAATGCGAGGCCCTTTGTCAGCGCATCGGCATCATGGTCGGGGGGCGCATGAGGTGCCTCGGTAGCTCGCAGCACCTCAAGACGCGCTTCGGGAAAGGGTTCCAGCTCGAGGCCAGGGTCGGAGCCGTCTCTCCGACGGTAAGTTGGTCTTGGGCGGCGACGACCGCACGGAAGGCGTTAAGCCATCGCATGAAATATTTTGGTATCCAGTCGCAACAGTATTGCCGTCTCCCATTCTACAATAACCCCGTCCTTTCATTGTTTCTCGAAAAACCACAGGATATCGACGCGATGCTCGCTACCATTGCCACTGCCACCGGCGGACAAGCGTCCCTCCCCAGCGAGCTTTGCGGTCCCGCTCTGGACGCCGCACAATGCCCCGAACTCGCACCGGAAATTACCCCAGAGGGAAGAGGGGCAATGGTGTACCACGCCCTCGCCAACGAGCGGACTGTCTTGGCGCGGGACTTCGCCGCGTGGCTTTGCTTAGAGCAGAGTTGCTCTCGGGTGAGAGGCCTTTTTGATTTTGTTTCGTGTAGGGCATGCATTGGGACGAGGCTCCCACCCATGCCACACTGCAATTCAGTCTCAAGTATGTTCGTTCTGCATCGGAATAGCACTCTGCTCCTGCTGACACTGGCTGTGTCATTTGTTTGACATTGAGCATATTCCGTTCCAGATGTTACCACCTGTTTAGCGTCTGCCTTAGTGTGGTCGACGTCATGCGACGCAATTGGTGCTGGGGGGAGGACAACTCGATAGTTTCAGGCTTGAGCATTGAGTTGTCCATGTATCCACCGAAACACGGAAATGGGTAGTACATTTTTTCGAAATCCACCCTTCCGATGCTGCTTGCCGTCGTTGGAATGTTGACCAGGTGATCGCGTTTGTGGAGAGCAGCTTCAAGGGGGCTCGTTTGCGCGAAAAGCAGAACGCCAAGATGCGTTTCGAGATCCCGCAGCAAGAGGATAAGACGCTGGGGGCAATGTTTGGGTTCATCGAGGTAAGCAAAGACCCCTCTGTGGTGTGCTACAATACAATACGACACCCTTGTTCCCGGAGCGAAGGAGCCACTGTCCACTTTTAAACGTTAGCTAGCCTCTGCTTGATTTCAACGGGCGGTACTGAAAAGAGAGGGAAGCACAGTTTGATCACTGAAAAAGGATTAAAGCTCGAGGCCATGGATACAGCGCATTCTAACGCTCTTGGCACGATTAGACTATGTGCAATCACACACCGTCGTTGGCTGCCCGCGATGAGTTCCGTCCTACGCCAACGATTGGGATGTTGTTACGGTGTCGCCGAGGCGCACCTGTACAAATCTGGCCTGCAAACTCTCAACCGTACCCAAATTCTCCGGCACCTTGGTGCCTTTGTTTCTCCACCTTGCCCGCGGGGTGTATTGCTGTCCTACCACAGGACAACGCTGCCGAGCTTGGCGTGGGAGAGTACTCGCTCAGTCAGATTTCGCTTGAGCAAATCTTCAATGGATTCGCCTCTCAACAGCAAGAGGAACAAGGCAGGGCAGCTGGCATCGTGTGACGTGTTTAGCTTGCCGACGCGCAACTGTTGTATGTAGCGCTAGAACGACAGCATGCTGGTGTAGCCTAAAGGTTGCACAAGAGCGGATATGGTCCGAGGCCAGACTGATGATATGGTGCCGTTGAGAATGTCAAAAGCAAGGTGTCTAGTCTATTTGTACAACACACAATGAAAACGCTTTGTGGGTGAAGTGGGCTAAATATGCTGGTGAACGTTGTATGTGAATTCAAGCGCTTCAACGAAACGTTGGTGGTGTTGAGCCGGTGGAAACCATTTTGGATGAGGCACAACGCTCTGTTTTCGCGGAGTGTATAGATCCCCGTAGTTTTCCAGAAATAGACAATGCTGTACAACGAACGGTAAGTATACTTTAGGATTGTGGAAGTACAAATAAATATGGTCGTCTGCTGTAGACTCGATTCGAGTATCACGTGGAGATATTGTAGGGTGGTGGTCTCCGTTGCCTCAGCGCTGACATGACATTCGATGCAGCACTTTTCGCGAAGAGGCTCTCATCCCCTGTGTCGGTCTTGATGATTTGACTTCCAGATCGTGTACATATTTTGACAATTTCTTGCGTGTTAGTCTAGTCAATAGAGTGCTATTGATTCCGTTGTAAGGTGCGTCTTGGACGATGCGAACTGGTTTTGGCCTTTCGTTTTTTCCTGCTTGGAGGTTGCTCTTGTTGGCTGCGTCCTTCCGCCTGTTGTGTTGTCAATGTGGCACCTAGCCCTGTCTCATCGGCACTGGATGGAGGGGAAGCAGCAAGACAGTTGACAATGCGTCGAAGCTACCTGCAGCAGCACCGTGAACGAGCAGATAGATGTTGGTGCGACGAACAATGCCGGGTTGTGTTACCACGTTTGGTTTTGACCCAACCAGGTCCATTGCTGTATCTGTGTCTTCAATGTCCTTCAAGTCGAAATGTTGTATTTCGAAATGATTCAAACCTTATGTTTTCCCCAACCACAGCGCATTCTCTACTTCAGTGTCTTCTTCGGGAATCTGTGTACAGTGTTGTGTGTGTTGTGTGTGTGCTTTTATTATTCGCATCGACCGCGCTAACCGGCTGACCAATGAAAAGACGTCAGTCTTAGTGCGGTTGAAAACACAAAACACTTTTATCTACCATGAACTGGGACCCCGTGAGGGGGCAGCATGGGGGAGGCTAAGCTATCCGTCGGATCAAAAACAGAAACAGCAGCAACAGAAGAAAACTGCACCCGTCTGCCAAGGCTATTACCTATTACTCGAGTTCGTTTAGGAATACTTTCACCAGTATCCTCCTTGTGTTCGCTACCATCACTCTGATCCTCATTTCGACAAGAAGAATCTCTGGGCAGTTCTTCCCTAGCCCTACGTTTCTTGTTGTGGGGAAGGTCATCTGGCTCAAACCCTTTGCTCTCTTCCACTCCTCCATGTTTTCCTGCTCCATCGTCGTCTTCGTCCTCCTTTCTCCCCTTTCCCTTTCCTTCGTCTTCGTCACTCCCAAAAGAATTACCCTCACTACTATCGTTGTCGCAGAGATCCCAACCGATTGGCCCTGGTGGAAGTTGGTCGATCAGTAGCCCATGACGTTTGAACACATCGCGAGTTCGCATCGACAGAAAACGAGCTAGCTCGAAGGTAAACCGTCTCCGAATCCTGTTAGTATGAAAAGCTTTCAGGCGAACTAAGGCCCTCTCGTCGTCAAAATTTCCCCGGCAAAAAGCTTCGTGCGCCAAGTGGTTGGCGATAGCAACGATGAGTCGATTGGTGCCTTTGCCAAGACCACCATTCGTTGAAAAAGCAGCAGTAAGGAGGGTAGATCTAGACGGGTTGAAAGTTTCCGCATAGTGATTTGCCTTACTTGCAGCTCGATCCTGGCTTCAGGATCGACTTGTCGATGCTTCGACCCGCGGATGGGTTGACGATTGTTACGTCTATGAGAATGGACTTGGTGCAGAGTTCCTCTTCCTTCTCTCCTGCGCGTTATCCTGGGGGGATTACCAAATCCATCTTGTATAGCCCCTTTCCCCTACCAGTGCCTGTGGTAAAAGGGGAAGAATCCTCAACGGCGATGGGCATATGGCACTCGCGCAGTGTCTTGAGGACCACTCGAACCATCCTGTTATGGAGGAAGGTTGAGGCGCCGGTCTTGGTGCAGACGAGGGAGTGGGCTCGGCTCAAGCGGTCCTTGCATGGTAACAATGCACCTGCACCACNCATTCGCGCAGTGTCTTGAGGACTACTTGAACCATCCTGTTATGGAGGAAGGTTGAGGCGCCGGTCTTGGTGCAGACGAGGGAGTGGGCTCGGCTCAAGCGGTCCTTGCATGGTAACAATGCACCTGCACCACAAAGTTTGCCTGTGTTGCAGTCTGCTCGATAGTGACTCCCCAGTACACGACCGATTGACTAGACTATATCGCAGCATTCTTTCATCTGCTGACAACCCTTGCGTTGTCAACCACGACAAAACTCCCTTGCCTTTCNGTTGCAGTCTGCTCGATAGTGACTCCCCAGTACACGACCGATTGACTAGACTATATCGCAGCATTCTTTCATCTGCTGACAACCCTTGCGTTGTCAACCACGACAAAACTCTCTTGCCTTTCGCTTCCTCCAAGCGGATCAACGCTCTCTTCTTTGGCGTTTCCTCGCCTGCTACTTTCTGCAAGTCTGTCTCCACCATGTGACGCACTGCTGCATGAAGAGGTTTCGAAAGGAGAGCTTGGGCCCCAAAGACTTGGTAGTGATGATCAAATTCATTTCGGCTGTAGGTAGACGGTGGCTGATGTTCTACGTCAGGTTTTCCATCTTCACTGGGTTTTCCCGCCTTCCCTGCTTCCAACAGGTAGACTTCCATGAGGTCGGGGGTTTTCCCGCCTTCCCTGCTTCCAACAGGTAAACTCTTTTGAGGTTGTGTTTGTGTGTTTTCGTCCTATTTCTTATGGCGACAGTCCCCCCATTTTTCGTGGTGAGACGTGTACTACACTTTTCAGCGTATGTATGTATGTAGTCTATCTAGAGTACTGCACTTTTCAGTGTATTTTTTCGTTCAACTACATATCGGTCGCCCCGGTGGTCTAGTGGGTAACCTCGCAGCCTGCTAAGGGCCAGGTCATGTGTTCGAGTCCCGACAGAGTGAGTTTTTTCTCGCTAATATATTCCTGGTCTCCTTTGGGAGCGACGCGCTGCAAAGCTCGTTGTTAGTAAACCATATTCGACTTGGTAAGTCGCGATGGAAGGGATTGCTGTACCCTTCTCGGGATAAAAATACCTCAGGCATGAACCGCAGGAGGGGTTCCAGCCCCCCCCTCTTATGTGACCCCGGTTGGGTCGTCTAGCTGGTAGAAGTGGAGGACAGGGGCCAGAAGGGCAGACTGCAGGGTCCAATGATGGGGAAAAAAAAAAACATATATCAACCATGTAGGGTCACACAGGAAGGGGTACACACCAGGGCTTTTTCTTCTTTTCATTTCTTTTCATTCCCCACCTTCCTCCTGCGGTGCGCGCTGAATTTTTCTTGTTTTTATTTTTATCGCGAGAAGGGTCCAGCCGTCCTTTTCCCTCATCAACAGTGCTATCGTCGAAGTTTGGTACTCACGAGAGCTTGTCAGCTAGATATACTTCGCTTTCACCCGCACATTTCGTAATTTTTCACCCCATGGGTATTCGAACCCACGACCTCTGCGATTAGCGGATTACGAGGATACCACTAGAAGACCGGTCGCCCCGGTAGTCTAGTTGGTAACCTCGAAACCTTCTGGAGGTCAGGTCAGGGGATCGACTCCCGGCGTAAGCGAGTTTTTCTTGCAAAGTGAGCTTTTCTCTCGGTCCGCTCCTGGCCTATAGTGGATAACGCTAGTTCGTGTGTACCCAGAGGCAAGAGAGTGCTGAACTCTTCTCGCATTAATAATCGAAGGCAAAATACCGCAGGAGGGGAGGGTAGAGAGGGGCTCTTCTGTGTGACGACGGGTTGACGTAAACGGCACTATCTATGCCGTGAGCGCTGATTTGAAGTGAGTTGTTGTTGTTGTTGTTGACTTCACATTAAACCGTATGCCAGTTGCTAAATGCCAAAATCTAGCAAAGACTCTCGGCCCGTGGTCACGAAAGTGCTGGAGCCATCTGAGGATCTAAAGAACACGCACACGTAGCAAGAAAAAGGTGTACAAGAGCCCGAAGAGGTACTACTACACCTATATATAATCCCTGCAGCACCGTACGCGTGCCCAAAACTGAACTACACGTCCGTCTCACCGT